GATTGCACCATAACAACTAGCTCAAAAGGTAATCTACTTCATACATCACACTTCAATATTACATTTACAATTTTTCATAACATGAAATGTGCAATCAAGAAATGATGGAAAGAGACCAGACAAAACTGATATATAAATAAAAAATATTTTCCAACATGAATCAATAATTAAAAATCAATTGACAAACATCAATAACAATTCAGGTGTGAACAATAGTTTCCTCTTCAAGCGTCTCCACTTTATAGGATGTTTGTGTCTAGGTATTATAATGAAGGAAACAAAAACACAATTGGTAGGATAACTATTATTGTTATATAATAGGTTGTTTGTATAACTAATTGATTTTGAGTTTGTAGGTGTGTAGAATTGAACAGTAAAAGGTCTCTCTTCATCTCCATGACACTACAGTTATCATTAAACATGAAACAATTAAGCAGCCATATACCTTGGTTGCTCTCCCCTCTCCAGCCCCATTTAACTAAAAATCAAGTTGAAGAAAAAAACACAAATTATGATTTTTCAGTATAAATACCTAAATGAACCTATTGATTTACTTAATTCTGATTATGATTTTTCAGTATAAATACCTAAATGATCTTTCATACCCATGACATTGATAGACTAGGTGTGAGTAGAAAATGTGACTGCTAGGTGAGGGAGATTCCCCATAGACTCCACACGTTATAAAATAATACCAAAAAAATGAAATGTCTTTTCTTGCATAGGACAAATAATATTTACTTTTATGGGACCATGGGCGTACATGTAGCTCAAGGAAGGTACATTAATTTTTGTAAAATTCAAACCAAATCTCCTGACCCGAATTCTTTTGGCGATCAAACACCACCTGAACAAAAACTGGCTACAAGGGTAATATGAAAATTGAACCACTAAAACTGAGGAATATTCAAGTTTGAGGGAACTACCTGTATTTCTAATACTCTGCCATGTTATCTGCCCCAAATTAGCCACCTGGTAGTGAAACTGGAAACTCCCTACTTGCATCTGGGTTATTACCCTCACAATTCAAAAAAAACTATGAGGTAAAAAATCCTACCCCTGTAATCAGATGTTGTTCTACATCAATCAAATCTAAAAAGTAAGATTTTGAAAATGAATGTCACCTACCAGTATTTATATACTGAACACACAAATCACACATTTACAATCACCACCAATACAATTGAACCATTAGATAGAAGAAAAGAGGTTTGAAATGCTTTTTATTTGAAGTTTCTAGCTCAATTTTGAAGGAAGTTACATTAATTTTGATAAACAAATCTTTAAGTAAATCTTTTTGGCTGGCTAATGCTATAATCAACCCCCCCCCCCCCCCCCCCCCTGTGACCAGTCCATATTGGTCATATTCTAACTCCGTAAATGCATTTACAAAATATGAAAAAGGTACCTTGAGGTCTACAATTGATTTTTAAGAGAAACATTGAGACTCAGTATAAGGAGGATCAAAACTCCCAGGATCAAAACTCAATATTTTCCAACAATGAAACATATACATGTAAATGTCTTCATTTTCTGAAACAAAATGTTGGCTGTTTGAATTCGAATTTTGAATCACAACATGCCCATAAATGGGACAGAATATCTATGTTACACACTAGGAGCCGATCCTCCTTGGGCTCAGTGACTGAACACAGTGAACACCATCCATTCATGGATTATCGATCACTGACGGATCTGGGGGCCCACCCCCCCCCCCCCTTGGGGGCCCAAATTTTTTTATCTGGCCTGAAATTTATGCCCCCCTTGTTGGTTCCCAGATCCGCCCCTGGTTATAGTAAACAAGTCTTCTATAAGAATCCCTTAGTTCACTTTGTGACTGAATATTTATTTAAATAATCGCCTTCAATAATATCAATGATTGAAACATGAATTTCAAACATTTCTGGATCACAATGGGAAGACTGGTAGAAGATCCGTATTTATATGATATAAAAACTATAAATTACTCGCATCTAAAACAACAAATGACAGATAACATATTTTTTACCTTATTTTCGCAAATAATATTTTTCCCGCCTCCGTGATTGAAGAGCTTCTTGAAACACCTGTCATTATTAATTTTGTACGTCCCAGATGACATGTCATTTTTTGATACCTTGAATCCATAATAGGAACGTTCGAAAATAAAATGGTGTTATGATTCAATTTATCTTGAAAGAAAAAGATATGCCGTTCAAAGATGATCTCGGTAATTATTGTTGGGTGTGAGTTTGTTAGGCGTACGCTAAGGACTGAAATATACATAAATTATATACACTGTAATTAGATAATGATATCCACTCATTGCCAAATACCTATATGAAAAGATGTTGATAAGTTAAAAAATTAACAGCCTATACCCCTATACCCCTCCCCTCCTTCAGGTATAGGCCTATAAGTGATGATAAACACCCGGGAATAAACAGGAAGGTAAAATATAAGTCTATCGTCTTTTCTTTTTTACAGGGTGGTAAAAAAAATGGAAACCCTTATACCATATTCCTCATATCTTTGTCATTTTAAGAAATAACTCCCTGATTTTTTACACATTTGTACATCATTCAATTTGCTACCAGCCTACTTTATTTCATGACCATCAGATTGATAGTCACAATGTTAAAGCACTTTAAAGAACATGTTCAGTGGCCACTATTGCGCTCTCGGGAAACCTGTACTCGTCGTCTAAAATGTCTCTACCTGTGAGGATATGGCAGAGATAGAGTATATGGGAATGACCTCAGGACAATTCCAAACCCCAAAAGTGAGATCATCCCTGTCATTTCGGCAACACCTGCTGAGGAGTGCATTCGGGTCATTGACAACTGTGCTGTTTTGCCTACAGCGCGATGATGGCCAAATCTGAAGCATGTTATTCATAGTGCTGTACAAGTGACAAAGTGACAAAGATATAAGGAAAATACAGTGTTTCCGTTTTTTGACCACCCTGTAGATGAAAGTATATATATATATATATCAAATGATATTGTTACCATTCAAAAGATGACCATTAAATTGACACTGTGTAAAATTTTCAGAATTTTGTGATGACTGGTTTAAGAGAAACGTGTGTTCAAAAAGTTCGCCATATCGATACCCATCTTTTTACGGAAATCGTAACTCTACGGGTCCGTAACTTTACGGAGTTTCGAGAAATAGACCGAGGCTACTCATTCTGATACACAGACCATCTTTGCAATACACTAGAAGGAAACTGAGAGAAGGCTGTGATATCTAACGATGGGGCTACTAGCTAGATTTGATTTTAGTGTAGATATATCTTTGTAGTGAATTAAGTTTGATTTAGAAGATGGCAACACTATAAAAATGAATGTATCATGTAATACAAACAACTTCGCCATCCTTCGATGACATTGATAAAAACTTGAAATACAAAGCTTGACAGATCAAAAATATTTTTGATTAATTATTGTAAGCTTTGATGTGGTCCGTTTGAGCTGTTGTTGGTGTCAAATGATATGGTTCTTATCAATACATTGAACATTCTATAAAATTCAAATAAAAGTTCTTATTTTGCCCAAAAACATTGAAAATACGCAAAGTGGGCCTTCAATGTAGTAAAAACACATAGGTTTAGATTGTAATGTTACCAGAAATTGAAACTTTTACATTTTAATTAAAATGTTTTTTGAATTCATTTGCCGAAAAGATTAAGAAAATTCGAAGGTTCATAAATAAGCGAGAACAAACAAATAGATTAAGAATATGCCCGTCAATCATATGCAACGATTTTTACCCATTTTGTTCTTTTAGATTGCGTTAAATGGTCAAAATGAACTGTAAACGCTTGGGTTCCTGACCTGTCAACATATCGTTTCTATATATTGGAGTATATCCTAATTTCTTACTAAAATTCAACGTAGGCCTGAGACATCACTTAAAAAGGTGACATAACAGACCATAACGATGTACGTTTTTCATTTTCGTTTTTATTCGTGATTTAAAATGGTTTAACACAGTTTGATTCTTGGATTCTTAGTTTTTAGTTTCATATTCCTCTTCTTATTTTGCATCTTTTCATGCCATTTATATGTAAAAGACCGACAACCGACCACCGACCACCGACCCAACTGTCGAGAGAGTGACCGGTCGGTCGTTGGTCGGTCTTTTCATAGATTACTTGGCTGCCACCTTTATATCAGCCTAAAAGATATCTGCACGTTGATCGCGTACTTTATATGCAATGCTCAAAACCCGGGACGCAAAATTAGATGTCAATTTAAAATTTGAATTCAAGAACCCAAGAAAGAATATATGAGTGGATGAAGGGAAGGGTTAATATAATACTTTGTATGACCTGGTATTTTGCATATAAATTGAACATGTGATTCTAGCCGAATTAAATGTGTGACTCTCAAGGTCCATGTGCAGTATGGCAAGTGATTTTAGACAGTTATATTTTTCACCATGAGTACTTTCTGGCCATAAAAACAATGTTTTTTGTTAAAACAATATGTTTTCTTTCAAGTGAAGTCCCCATGATAGTAAAATATCAATCCAACTCTCTGAAAAATTATGGATTAGGGCCCCACCCTGGCACTTTTTAAATGTTAGGCTTATTTTCTAAAAAGAGGATCTTGTTTTTCTCAATTAAAACATATCAAAACATTCTTCTCAACTATATTAACAATTTCTGAAAAGGGAATGCGTATTGAAATGCGTTAAAGTTAAAAACCACATATCCCATGTTATTTTCCCTTAGGGAAAACTCGTGCTATCCATTGTTTTCAGCATCATTTTGGTCATCGAAAATTGATATCTTCAAAACTAGACTTTCAATACAATTATATTTTTGAAGATGTTTTAGAGCCCTTGTTGAATAATCTTTTCATGCAATAAAAATCAGAAAAGGGAGATCCTCTTTTGAGTGAATAGGTTCAATATTTTGAAAAAAATTTTGACATGGGGTTCCTATTCATAATATCTCGAATTGTTCGATTGGTATTTTTATCATCATGGGTTCACTTGAAAGAAAACATAATTGTTTTAACAAAAAACACTATATTTATGCCCAGAAAGTACTCATGAAAGATATGACCGTCTAAAATCACTTGCCATACTGCACGTCACGGTGGTCTTTTAAAACAGCTAAGCACCGACAGCAACCGTGGGACAATTTAAGAACCATTTTAAAAGATCAATGTTAGAAAATTAACTTTGAACAGTTAGGGGGAGGCGGTCAGCCCTGTAATCTTAACATAAGAATTATAAAAATTGACTGCATTATAAAAAGTTATGTAAATATTCTTGTGACCAGGCGAAATAACACTAGGCCTATCAACATTTGTCAAACACAGTTTTGTGGGGGAGGGAGGGGATCACAGATTAACTGTTCAAGTTAGTAAGCTTAATCCAACATTGAACTTTGAGATGCTGCTGTACCTTATTCAAATTATTACCCGAATATTGGGCATAAAAAAACATTTCATTAGCAGTTTATTAAAACTGCTATTTGGAAGTAAGGAACGGATTTTAAAACGATCATCATCGGGCGATGATGATGATGAAAGTGATGCATGTTAGACTGTTGTTCCACGATCACCTACCTCTGCCTGAGATTCCTCCTGTTGGTCTCTAGGCTCAATGACTATTTTTTATTATGTTCGAGTTAATTGAATTAAGGCTTAGCCTATGCGTTGTTAATGAAACGGAGCTTTCTTTTTAAGAAGCTATTAAAGGTGCGACAACTCAATGCAGAGGGGCTGTTCAACGATCATCGATCAGTGTCAAACACTAAAAATATAAGTTTGGATATTTCATAAAGACTGGCATATATTTTTATCATTTACTAAGAAACCCTCCAGATCATGAACATTCATTCAGGTGATATTCCTCTTGAAACGTGGCACTGCCGGGATTTAAAAATGACTCCCCCGGGCCGTCAGAAGCTTTGAACTCGGAATTTATTCATACATTTCAAAAACTTTTAGGTATAATTTTCTCTATACAGTCCAGGCCTTGTTGCCCCTTGAAAGTCAAACGAATGTGAATGGTATCGTAAAGTCGGTATTTTGTTTAAAAATCTCGAACGACCACTCGTTCGGTTTTCTACTGAAAGCCACGTTCATTTCCGGTTTACAAAATGAAGAATATTTTTTGTTTTTCGTTTGTATTATGCCTCATATTAGGCGGTATAGCGGCCCATTCACATGATCATGGGCACGCACACGATCATGGGCATGCACATGACCATGGACACTCACACGACGAGCCTGCGCACCAGAAATACTCCAGATCTGCAAATGAAAAGCCACCTCCAGATGCTCATGCCGGTCATGGGCACGCACACGATCATGGTCATACTCACGAACCTCATGGGCACTCACATGATCATGGTCATCAGCATGGACATGCACATGAGCACCATGGACATTCTCATGAACAGCAACCGCCACAAAAACAAGCTGGTAATACGAAGCCAAAGATAACAAAGCCTGTAGATTCTACTTTAATGTTATGGGCAAAAGCGCTAACATCAACGGCATTGATCAGTGCAGCTCCGATATTGATTCTTCTGTTCATTCCACTTGAAAACACTCCTGAATATGAACCACTTCTCAAAATTCTCCTGAGCTTTGCATCAGGTGGTCTCCTTGGTGATGCATTCCTACATCTGATTCCACACGCTATGACTCCTCATGGGCCTGCTGATGGAGATCACAGTCACTCACACGGCCATTCTCATGGCGAAGGAGAGGGCCATGTTCATGATATGAGTGTTGGCCTTTGGGTCTTGGCGGGTATCATTGTGTTCCTTATAATTGAGAAGTTTGTTCGCTACGTCAAGGGTCATTCACACAGCCATGGCCACAGTCATGGAGCTCCTGCCAAAAAGGAGGAAAAAGAAAGTAAAAAAGATGAAAAAGAAACAAAGGAGGATGATGCTAAAACCAAAGATAAAAAAGAAGAATCTGATAATAAAAAAGAAGAATCAAAAGAAAAGAAAGAAGAATCTAAAGAAAAAAAGACTGATGATAAAATAGTAGAAAAGGGTAAAGTCTACATTTATTTAATTTAATTTCAATTATTATTTAAAACAAAATTTATACTTGAGCTGATGGGTTTTGTGAAAGGTCAGTCTAGCCCAGTTGGACTAGTCTTATGAGTACCAATTGAATGAGTTAGCACCGAGTTATAGAACCGACAAGCTTTTTCATTTTTCAAATTCAGATCATTAGATTTCTATAATGATTTTGTGCTTATTGTATGTCAAGCTTTGTATACATTTACAATGCATCACAGTTACAAGTGTTATATTGTTTTAAATTATTTTCTGTTCTAGATCATACATTTCCTCAAGAAGACATCAAAGTATCAGCATATCTGAATTTAGCTGCAGACTTCTCGCATAACTTTACAGATGGTCTCGCAATTGGAGCCTCATATATGGCTGGCACAAATATAGGTATGTTAAATGATTGGTTCTGAAAGTTGCTAAAATTGGTCACATTCAGGGCTCCATTCGCACAGGGTCAAACAATACTTATTTCTTTTACAAGACAACCCATTGACTTGGGGAATTTTACAATTCTTTCCATGTTGAAATAATATTCAGTACTTTTACCTGTTGTTTTCATTCATTTTGTCTGTTGTCAACAATTCTCGAAATCGTTGTTCCCTCTTCAAAAGAGGAGACGCGAAAATCTTTCCTTATAAGGTCAAAATATTTCCCATGATGCAGTTCGCGGAGGAACAAATTTATACTTCCTGGTTTTCCCTCATAGGTTTAACATGGGGATTTTCACACCTATTTTTCAAACGATATATTCGTTCATATTCCCGTACGAGAGTACAGAAAAAAATATTAGAAACGATTGATCTCTTATTAATCTTAATATAACAGCTATTTTTTTCATTGTATTGATTCATAGCGTGGTGATAACGACGATTGAAAAGTGAGAAAATATTCCGGAAGAGAAGGTCACGTGATCAGTTGACTAGTCGCCATATTGGAAAAACAATTCCATTCGACTTTCAATACTTTCATGCCAATCTTACCACATTACAAACTGCAACATCGATGCAACAACTGAACTGAAGTATTCATCTTCAAATTACATTATAGAGTTACGTTGAAAACCCACAAACAACTGAGCAGTAGACCAAAGAAGACGCGTCGCTATTATCTAGGTCAATCTGTTCTGTGGTCCGAAAGCAAATCTATAGTACTCGTTTCCGAATTTTGTTGTTTATTGTACAATCTTTTATTGATTAAACTCAGTATACTGACTATTAAAGCAATGACAGAGAAGAATACTTCCGATGGTGTCATTGTTTTATTTAGCGTGCGGGTGTAAAAACAAAATTGCGTAATTAGTTTGATTTAGAATTTTCGGGTCACGCGAATAGCTACGCGAAAAGCATAGTGGGAAAATATTGACCAATCAAATTTTGTCCTTTTTGAGTGCTTTTTCAGAACATATTTGCGAACGTTCTGATTCAAAGAGCGAACCGCGAAAGGGAGAATTCTGATACAGTTCCAGACATTTATGAGCATTTATATTTTGATTTGACAACATACAAGGGTGTCCATTAGGGCTGGCATGGAATAGAATTATTGTCTGAACTGTCTGATTTTACCATCGGAAATAAACTTATGAACTGCCTTCTCAGTGTTTGCCCAGGAATGTTTGTTTAGAAAAACACATGGGCCGCCAAAATTGGTTCAATTACTTTAGTGTCTCATACGTTTTTCTAATCAAACATATTCCAATGTTTTCGGAATTAACTGTTTTCTGTAAAGAACCCTTGCCAACTCGCTATAGCGAACTGGGATGAAACAAAATCAATAAATTTGTATAATAAATATTGAAGAGTTAAAGTTGTTTGTAAGCGATAAATAAATGATTCATCATTGATTTTATATATTTCATACCTTTTAAAAAACATATGAACATTATGCAAATTGTTTATAAGTTAATATATTGTATTAATAGTTATATTAACAAACATTAAGTCTGAAATTCCGAAAGTTCTGAATTCTGGAGGTAATTTCTGAAACAGTTTTAATTTTGTTCCATTCCGTGCCACTTGTATTGTCCATGCATCAACAATATTCTGACCTGACAATTGAAAACTGCCATTTGTTTGAACCAATGGTTATATCACTATCTATGTGCATGCTGGTAAATTACACCATTGGTCCCATTTCCTCATTTTCCCTCCTCTAATATTTATCCCATCGAACGAAGTTCGGAGGGATATAGGGAACGCCTCCGTCCATCCGTCCGTCCGTCCGTACGTACGTCCGTCCGTACGTACGTCCGTCCGTCCGTACGTACGTCTGTCCGTCCGTACGTACGTCCGTCCGTCCGTCCGTCCAGGCAATAACTCAAATACCGTTGGCCCGATTTTGTTCATATTTTGTACACATATACCCTATGGGGGTAGAAGTTCTGCTCGAAAGCCGATTTTCAAAATGGCCGCTCATTTCAAAATGGCGGCCATTTTAGTGCCGAATTTATAGTAATTTAGGTGCAATATGTAAAACTGTAATAGCAATATGTTTGAGATGTAAAAAAATTATATAGGACATTAATAAAGCTAGAAATGTAGATATTAAAGAAGCACATGGCAGCCATCTTGAAAAATGGCGGCCTTTACTCGTTATTTTACGATTTTTGCTGTAACTTGAAAAGTAGTGGAGCGATTTTGTTCATATTTGGTATGTGAATACTATAAGCACGGCACACTGTCTAATGGCACTTTTGGTAGAAGGTGGCCATTTTGAAAAATGGCCGCCATTTTAACGTATTTTACTATAACTCGAAAAGTAGTGAAGCGATTTTGTTCATATTTGGTATGTTAATACTATAAGCACGGCACACTGTCTAATGGCTCTTTTGGTAGAAGGTGGCCATTTTGAAAAATGGCCGCCATTTTAACGTATTTTACTATAACTTGAAAAGTAGTAGAGCGATTTTGTTCATATTTGGTATGTGAATACTATAAGCATGGCACATGGTCTAATGACACTTTTGGTAGAAGGCGGCCATTTTGAAAAATGGCTGCCATTTTTGCTATATACTTTGTTTGTAAAAATGCCATCCATGGCTGTTCGATGGGATTCGCTACGCTTTGGCGTTGCCGTTGTTCTGGTTACACCAGACTTGGTTTGTATCAAAGTTATTAAAGCAATTTATAAGTTATTCTTATTTTTAGGATCATAATTTGAGATTGAGTTGTGATATAGATTCATCACAATTATACAAGTTAAATGACACGGTAATAAAGATTTCATTGTTTCAGGTATAATCACCACTATCACAATTCTGCTCCATGAGGTCCCACATGAGATAGGGGATTATGCTATATTGGTGACATCAGGCTGTTCTCGAAAGAAGGTAAGTCGTCCATGACATTACAGCATAATATCACAATACACATATCGCTACAGCAAATAGGTCCATTGAGAATGTGATCTCATTTGAAAATTGACAATATTCAAACTTTAGTGTCGATTGTAAAATAACAATCTGAGACCATGAAAACTGAAGATTAGAATGCAAAATAGGTTTTAGACCAAAATGAAAAAAATGTGCAGTCGGTAGTTCATATACATGTGTATGATATTCTTTTGAATTTCAGATGCGTAACTAGTTTACTACTCTGCCATCTTTTTTTATGACCACTCTCTCTCACAATGATATAAGTCTATGAAAACCTGATCTGAGAATAAGGAAATAAGCCACGTTTTTGTAAATATTGCAAATACGTCAAGTTGGGACATCTAGAAAATGTCTATATTTTGTCATTTTTAAAGAAGTTTTCCCACATCTGATCTTTTACTTAATCTTAAATTTTATAGCATCCTTTGGTGCTATATTGTAATCAGATTGCAAGGTAGTAGGGCGGGTGGTTGCACAGGGTCCCAAAATCTTTTCTTATTGTATCATGTTTTGTCTCTAGGCTATGATGCTTCAGTTGACTACAGCTGTAGGTGCCATGATGGGAACACTAGTCAGCCTAATGTTACAAGATATGACAGCAGCTGCTACCACGTGGATCCTTCCCTTTACAGCAGGTGAGTGGTTTGAAAATCAATCCAATATACTATATGTATTTGGATCATTCCTTTTCTAGTAGATAGATATGAAAAGCTGGTAAAATGTTCTATATAACTGTAGTTTTCTTGATATATACGCAGATTGGTTTTGTAGCTTCAGAGATATCGGAACTGAAAGTTGCAAACATTTAACTGGTCTGCCAACTTTAATTTTTTCCATTAAAAAAGATTGTGAAATATCTTTAGAAAAAATGTACATGTCCTGTGTAGCTTACATTATTATTCATTTCTCAAACATGTAATTTGAAAGGCATTTATTTCCCAAATTCTTTCACCTTAAATGCAGCTACTTATATGGGAGGGCTGTGGTAGCCCAAAGGGGAAAGCTACCCTGAAATCTCAATGTTCTAGTCTCATACCCTCTGTCTATGACATAGATTTAAATCACCCCTATTGGTAGTTTGAATTGGAAATGAGTGTGAAGAATAACGATTCTGTGACTACATACTGTGGAAATAGGCTCGATCTAAGAACTGTCTCAAATTTAAAGAGTGTAGATTAAATCAAGTTATTGTGAAGGGTAGAGGATGGTATTTAAATTCACACATGTTATTGTTGTTATTTCAGGTGGCTTCATCTACATTGCCACAGTGGCTGTTATACCTGAGCTACTAAGTGAGTCTACCTTAGGCCAATCCATCAAAGAGATTGCTGCAATGCTCGTAGGAGTCTACATGATGGTTCTCATAGCTGAATTTGAGTAGTCCATTCCAGTATTATACGCTCAAACGTTTATAGGTTTATTTATCCTTTGAAGTTCAAGGGAAAAATGAGTTATTCAGGATTGGAATTTGCTGGAGTTGTATTGGTTACAGGATCAAGTTAGATATGAATATCTGTGTGACTTTGTATACTGTAGATTGGGTTAATTTGGCGCCCGCTTTAATTTGGCGAATTTGGCGAATTTGAAAAATTCGCCAATATAAATCTTCGCCAAAATTTAAAATGAATCCCCGGGAATTATCTAGAGTATTTCCTCCAGTGTATTTAGGTCACTTCCGGTTTAGTTTCTTTCAAAAATATGAAAAATGTCTCTCATAAATTGGCTCAGAACTGGTCAGTCACTCATTAATATTCAGGGAAAAACTAGAAAGGAAAAGCGTGGTATGGTAGCAGCATCGATCGAGGTGCAAAATGTAAAGGATGATCGCCAGTGGTCCTCAAAAGAAAAATGGACATAGCCAAACTTATCCATTTACATGGTAATTCGCAAACAGTGCGTAAGTTAATTTTGTTGCATATCCGCCAAATTAAATAGCCGCCAATATGCCAAAAATGGCAAAATCGCCAAATTAAGTAGCGCCAAATTAACCCAATCTACAGTAAATATGCTAGTACATGGTTTACTATATAGACTTGGAGTGGGAAACTTTTGATACAAAAACTACAGTGTATTAGTTTGACCTGATATCACCTGAATATTCATTTTTAGAGGGAATGAGTAAACCATCTCACAATAGTAATCTCTCAGAGTTAAGACTCAAATACTCCAGCCAAACATTCAAGCAGTACTTTTGCATAAGTCTAAATTGTATGTAATATTTAGAACAGATCAAAGATCTCTGAGGTGAGGTGAAGGAAATATTGAATATTTCTAGGATTTAAAAAAATTATGTTATAACATGTCATTTTGGAAATATATGAATTATGAAAATAGAAGGGATCATGTGCAAAAAGATGTCAATTTGTCAAAGGTGAAAATTGCAAAATAAACTTTTGAAAAATTATAATAAATGTAGATAGTTAATTTGAATGATATTGTGTTATTCTGATTTACATATGAAAATGAAGATACTGTGAATTATTTGATCATATTATTGCTATGTAAAAATTGTTATTTTGACTTAGTATTGTAACCCTACAACGTTAAGTAAGTCATGTTGAATTATAATACTGTCCCATTTTCTTTAATTCATGAAACATTCTCATTCAAGAAACATCCACTCGAGGCATCCAATTTTTGAGGTGGGGGAATATGTATGGGGGAACCCATTTAGAGAATAGAAAGAATGATTAAATGAACTACTTAATTAAGATAGTGTAAGTTTGCAGTATAATATTTGTTTAACTTGCCATTGAACATGTTTTTTTTGTGTGTAGACAATGCAAATGGAACTGAAGCGCCATCTAATGGTGAAATTGTCAATGTATAAATAGGATAACATTGCAGAGACAGTTTCTCCAGTTGATGATGCTTCAGATTCCTGTAACATTAGTTAAAGATAGCATTAAGATAGCATGAAATATTTGAAATAAGTATACTGTTATTTGGTGAGGGGTTTATTTTATACATGTACCAAATGGACCAATAAGCATGTAGTTTTACTATTTCTATATTCCACTTGTGTCATTAGTTTCTCTTCTCAACACAGTCTCTTTAGACGTATCTTCCCATAAGAAATCACTGTTTATGATTTGAGGTTTACGTTTGGTTAATAGAAAGGAGATATGGTTGTAGGGTTGTTATTTAACAAATAGAAACAGCAATATTGTACAAGCACATGTACCTTGTGTTAATGCACAAGTCATAATGAACAACATTTATCATTATGTACATTATTTCCATTATTTATGAAAGATCAACTGAACAAAGACTTCATTGTTTTTTACAGTACAGTAAAGTAAATGTAATTTATTACTCAATGTAATAATTATACATGAATAGACATAACATGCAGACACTTATCTGTAATAGTAATTTATATGTAAGTACAGTACAGAAAATGATGTACAGTACAGTTCTAGTAAATGATGTATAATACAGAAAATGATGTACAGTACAGAAAATGATGCACAGTACAGTAAATCAGTAAGTAAGTGGGCGTGTGGACATATACACCAGATTCAAGACAATAGTCGTCATTGATTATGAAACATACAATAAATCAAGTGTACAAAATAAAACCTGATTTTCAGTTCCTGATTCTTTAAAAAGCAAACACAAATACATATTGAACAGGATTTGAGCAAATGCCATTATTGTTATCAATTGCGGTTACATTGCACATACCACAGGGATGTAGCCAGCTTTCAGCCAGGGGGGTGCGATCGCCAAAATTCGGTTTTCAGTCAGGGTGGGGGGATTATGGATTCTGGCATATACAATCCAAAAAAAAAAATACTCCCAGTAATTTTCGCGCGCTACTATATTTTGCGCTTTTCGCGAGATTTGGAAAATTCGCGAAATATAGTAGCCGCGAAATTCCAACAGTTCTAATTCGTGAAATTTAATAGTCGCGAAATTCCAAGGAAATTGGAAAGTAAAAGTGCTGGTCGATGATAGGGAAAAACATGACATTTTGAGTTTTGAAAAAGAAAAATTAGATTAAAGACTGTTATTACAATTTTAAAATGAACATTCTAACGATATGGCTCAATTAGAAGCCAAACTCATCAGGAGAAGGAACAACCATGGCTTTTATTGAAGCAAATGACAAATCCGCGAAAATTAATAGCCGCAAAATTTTAAAAATTGAAAATTAGCGAAATATAATAGCCACGAAATTTTAAATTGCCAAAAAACTTGAAATATAATAGTATCAAATATAAGTGGGAGTTCAGTATTTTGAATTCCAAATTGAGCTAGAAGTTTCAAATAAAAAGCATTTTAAAGCTCCTTTCTTCATCTATCTCATTGCACCCCTGGCTACGCCTATGTACCAGGTGGAGAAAAGTATGAGGCCACCTATATAAAGATCATAGAACTAAAAGATAAAAGTTCTATCTTCTGTAAGAATCATCTGATTTACATTAATGACTCAACTGACTCATTTCCTTTATTTATGATTTAGCCTATATTTAAAAAGATATATTTTAAAAATGGACGGATGTATGCTCTACACAATTCTAAATGTGTATAATCATTCATTCCAAGACTAATAATCATGGATGATTCACTATTTCAGAATTTAGTTCATTAATATCAATACAACTGTAAGTATAAAATTGACTACAGTAAGTATAAAACTGACACACCGCACAAAAGTGTCCGTAAAAAGATTTTGATTTTAACACTGGTAGGGACTATTATTGCACTATCGTTTAAATATAACTTTCTCAAGTCGCATAAATGGTGCTTCAAGGCACATTGATGCAATGAAGGCCACACCATATGTGCTCATGAAGAAACCAAAGAACATCTGAACAAGGCCAATGTCTGACATAATAAGCGTAGTTTCCCTGCTCATTAATATTGTATATATTACAATGGGGTGGACCAGGTAACAGCAGTATGTAAGACGACTCAGTGGAATCAAACCAGGCCAGGAGAGGATTGTGTTCACAAACCCTGAAATATATGGAACATGTACATGTCAAAGTTACATAATCCATGTCTTAATCTACTTAATACGCTTTTTAAAACATGGGCAGGTTTAGCATTTTTTCCAAAAGTGTGAATTTAGATATCCTTTACTTGTCTAATAGCTCAGATGCGAGTAGGTAGTTATCAGTTTCACAACCAGATGGCTCATTCGGATCAGATAGCATGGCAGGTTTTGTAGAAAGTTCAATTTAACTTAAATATTCATCTTTTTAGTGGTAGAAAGTTCCATTTAACTTAAATATTCATCTTTTAGTGGTTCACTTTAAATATCACCCTTATGTATCGAATAGTTATGCAAATTAAAAGATGTCCAGTAAAATAGCCATATCCAGCTTCTGTTCATCCAGTATTTGTATAATATCTGTCCAATACAAGAAAAGATATTTCTCTTTTGTGATTTTATATCATTGGGTCTATGGGGAATCTCCCCCAACTAGAAGTCACATTTAAAAAAAAAAAATTCTAAGTTGATAAACAATTTTCAAAACTATATTTCTAGATGTACTTTTATGTGTAGATTTCAAATATGACATCATTTTGATTGAAATTTGAATATATAATGACGTAATTTCGTAGTAATTGACGTAGTATTTCTACTCACATTTTGGCTATTAGAGAGCTCCAATACAATATAAAACCTGTAAAGTGGAATATCTCTGTAAGTGGAACAGTTTTCAATGTCCTGCTGCCCTTTAACTTAATGTAAAATGAATTTTCTGTAAGTGGGACCCCTCCCAAGTGAAAAACTATTTTCAGGTAAATGTGCTCATTGAAGGGGTAATATAATTATTCCATCGAATGAAAATCAATGGGATTTGCTATGCTTTGGCGTTGCTGTTGTCTAGTTTTTCATGGCTGCAACCCTAAAATGGGTCGATAATTGTACCATTGAAAGACAAACGCTGTTCCAACTCTGGGTCAGATCTGATGTGAGGATATTTGGATATCCTAGAAAGGAAAACAGCAATGGTCTAAAGTACAATGCATATAAATGTCCACTTGGATAAAACTTCAAAAATATATTTTCGTCCAAGCATTTGAATATCCTTCAAACAAATGAAAGGTAGGAATCTTATTTGAGATTAATTGAATACCTTTAATCATTTATTTCTCCTTACCTCCATAACCTGTACAACAGGCAAAGACCACCCAGCCCAGTCCTATACTCCATACAGTACGGGAGGTAGCATCATAGAGGGCCATTACATTATCAGAGAGGGGGTGTCCATTGAATACACCCCAGAGTCCATATTGAGTTAACAGTGATAGAGTAGCAGCTATCAGCCATCCTAGTAAAGCGACTGCCTGGAATAAATAAAAATAAAAAATGTTAAAACATGTTAATTGTGGATATACTTTTTGTGGGTATATATTTTTTACTATAGCAATTCTATCCATTGAGTGATCTTCTGTCTGTGTAGCAATTAGGTGTTACACTCAGGTGAAATACAAAACACATATAGAAAACTTGGATAATTTTACCAGTTTTTTTCTCATATCACTTCAGCCAATTTTTTATCTTTTGTCTTTTCTTGAGATTTTATCATTTTCCTTTTATTGTAAAATGCCTTAATTAAATGGCTGTTTTAATTTGAAAATGAAATTCCCAGAAATTTTCTTCCAGTGCTTTTTCCATGTGTTACCTTGTATGATAAAACTTTGGCGAAAAGCTTGATTGAAACATGGATAACATTTGCCAAGATCTACAGAGTACCATATGGTTTAGATAAAACAATATCCGGATAAAATTGCTTTATCGGGGGCGACCTGTGAAGTAAGAAATACATTTGAAGATGGTCAATCGGCTAAATTAAATAGAGCCAAATTAAAACAATTTACAGTATTTTGATGTGCAATTTTGCAGTGCAAGGGAAAAAACCCAAGTGACTTTTTACTTTTACTTACCCAGTGCAACTTGACTTTCCTATTAGTCCTGTAAAGAATGTATCCCACTACAAAACCAACTAGATATGGTCCGATTCGTGTATATGGCTTGATGTAGATATTTTGGAACCCAGCTTGTCTACAAGGTAATAATACGAGTCATTTTTCGGCTTTTTTAAAAAAAACAGTAGCTTTTCAGGAGATATAAATTCTCTAACCAGATTTAAATTCTATTAAATAATGAAACCTAGATGATAGCAACATTGTTCTAATGGTGTGCCCAGTCATTACAAGTTTTAAATTAACAGAGCATGGAAAGAAGAGGTCCAGTTAACTCACGTATTTCCAGCTTTGGCTGGATCAATAACTGCTGTATAGTTATCGCCATATTCCGCTGATAGCAGCCCAGTAACAATCAGATGCCCTAGTAGCATAGCCCCAGTCACTATATACCCAGCGATTGCAGATCTGTGATACAGAATATGTGCATATATATGTTATTAGTAAAATCATCAGGTTTTGTTGTGTCTCGTATATTGATAAAGAAACTGCAATTCTATCATAATGATAATAGCTTCAGATGATTTCCTTTGAATATTGAATGAGTTATCATAGATCTCTAGATCTGTTTGCAGAGTGGATACTACAATGAAAAAAATACATTGCTAATGGTGGCAATATGAGAAATCAGACGTTCATGATTTTAATAAAATAAAGTTTTTAAAACTAACATTAATATTGTCTTTATTAAAATTTTCATTCCATTTTCTAAAAACAAATAAAGATTACGTTACAGATTTTTAAATTTTGAACTCTTATACCTCAAAACTAATGCAAAATTTTAATACATGGTCAATTGCTTTATGCGTATGGCACAACATCTAGTGATGACATAAAAACTGATCATGTACAAATATGGTTTAAGTTTGAAGAAAATCACTTATTCATTTTACTTACTTGAAAAATGCAATGATGAGAATGGGACTTATCCAGTGGAACTGCATGTCATTTGCCAGATACCAGGACCAGCCCATACACTAGAGATAAGACACAGACATGCACTTTAAATAAATAGGCCAGGTGGAGTTAAATTTTTATCTTTAATTTTGGCTTATAATATTTTATATTTTGCACCAGCCAATTAAAAAATTTGAGTAAGGAGTTTCCCTCCCCACCATGTACATGAGGAGATTTTACAATTCCAAAACACTATTTTGCTATTTCTGGACCGATTTGATGTGTTTGAGTCAATTAAAAAATATTTTGGGGAATAGCCAGATGGGTTGTTAGTGTGCAAGAGAGTGAAAGAAAAATTTGACTTTTTAAAATATTTACCATTTTACTATGCTATTTGGTGGGCACTTTTGATGGACACTTTTAATGTTTATTACCAATTCTTACCATTTTGTCATCTTTAACAAAATTGTTTATATACAGCAAGTTTGTCCACCAGGTGTCATTGCAGTAGTTCCTTTCAAAACCCTGCTCAGGCCACAGTGGGCCTGTACTCACATAGCGCGACAAACAAGCACTGAACATAAGAATCAGCATATATGGTGGGGTCAACCTGAAGAACACAACTCTTTAAAGTACATGTACATGCACCATTGCACATGTATGGGTACTATTCTGTGAACATTTTTATGTGTTACCCAGTTCATTGTAAGAGAATTTAATCATGGAATTGGGATAAAAATTAAATGACCTAAAATATATTTTTACTACTTACCTCCAAAATCTGTGAAAGTAATACATGATCCAATTCAATTTTCCATTTTTGGCCTTAAGTTCCCGAAGTACAAGGTAAGACACTAGCAAACCACTGAAACAAGTACAATGAACTATACAATGTAAGATATACAATGTACTATATATTTTGGAATGATACTTTACAGCATTGATTATTATGAGCATCATTTTCCCAGATTAATTTTTGAACAATTTTAAATGAAACAAAAATACTTTGTTATGATATTATTTTATATTGCTTACACATAATTTTTCAATTTTGAACTCTTATTTTATTCACACCTTAAGAAAAAGAAAGCATCAACTGAAAAGAATCCATTGATAATCACTTGGAAGCTGTAGCGTTTTAGATAATCTGTTGCTAACGCAGGATTACCTGCAAACAATATAAAGTATGCACATATTTAAAGTTAATAAGTCATCAGTAAATAAATAGTAACTAAAGAATAAAAAATAATAAACAAATCAATAAAATTAAGCATCTAAACTGAACTTGAAACTAGAGCTATCTTTCTTTTCTTCCAAATTTTGATGAATAACTATAATAGTTTGCTAAGAAAATCTGGAATGATCAACATCCCATAACAATGTGCTCAATAACCCAGATGCGAGTAGAAATAATCTTGATTTACGTCATTAAAAATTCAAAATTCAAACGTCAAAGTAATATCATATTTGAAATCTACATGTAAAATTATATCTAGAAATGTGGTTTTAAAAAGTGTTTATTAACTTTGAAAAATTAATTTTCTTTGAAAATGTGACTTCTAGCTCGGGGAGATTCCCCATAGACCCCATGCTATAAAATCAAAAAAAGAAATATCTTTTCTTTTAGTGGACAGATAATATTTTGCTTTACTGGATATATTTTCATTAGTATAAGTATCAGACACATAAGGGTTATATGAAAATTGAGCCACTTAAATTGATAATATTCAAGTTTAAGGGAACTTTCTTATCAGGGCTCTCACCAGGAAATATTTAGGGTGTGGTGCTAACATCTTCAGAATAACCGTTCAATCATGATAAATCATATTTATGTTATGTTTTATCCTTTTTACATGCTATTATTGTATATTCAGTCAAGTTTAGACTGTGGAAACAGTCATTATTTGCCAATAGGGTGTGGAGGGAGCTAAATAGAGTGTGGTGCTGCGCCACAGTCTAAAAGCCTGGCGAGAGCCCTACTTATATACCTGCCATGGTAATTGACCCGAATCAGCCACCTGGTGGTGAAACTGGTAACTACCTACTCGTATTTGGGTAATTGAACACTGAAGATAACTGCAGTCTTGAAACAATTCTTTGTAGTTTTTTGGTTACCTGTTACACCAATCCCAAAAGCAAATGTATGGCACAACATGACCCAAGTCATACTGAAGAATCGTATTCCATGAACGCAGTCTAAACTACTTTCTGATGGAGGGCCAACTTTAAGGATCTTGTCTCCATTTGTGTAGACAGAGAAACACAACAGCATTCTCAGTGCTATTCCTAAAATCAACAAATGTTTCTGGTTTATAGGAATTTGGTTCTGAAAAGTTGACATTTGCATCATAACGTTAGATTTAAATATTCTATAATAATTAATAAAATAAAATATGACCAAAGAAACATCAAGTTACCATTTTTGTTTATGTGTATATTAAGTTTATCTTAGTTTAGTGATTTACCATGTTGCCTGGGTGGTGAATTGACTGGTTTGTTATTTGCAACTAATGGAGTGTATTTGTTCACATTGTGCTGATGATCCATTCCATTTGGTCTCTTATCCTCAATAATGGAATTCAACGTAACACCTTTTTCAGTATTATTCTGTTCCATCGTGTACATTATTGCATCAAATGCAGTCCCACATATTACAAGACATCCAACTATGCTAAAGATGACTCTGAAAAAAGTAGTTGATATCTATATCAGGAGCTCTCCAGCTAACATCATAAACAATGCTCAATTAAAACACCATATTGACTTAAACCTTCCATTACTTTTAAAAGAGAGTTTCAACTACACTACATGCACTTGAGTTCAAAATAATTCTTTGACCCATCTAAACCCATCAGAACACTAAGAATATCCAATAAAATCCAGCTATTGCTATGCAAATCAAAACAGCATTCACTGAATTTTATGCTTAAAGTACCTGACATTCAAATTTAAATGAAATCAATGTGAGATATACAGACTATATACTAGGTCAGTGGAAGAGGCAACAACAAACTCATCAATGAACTATCCCCTTTGGTTGGCCCAAACTACCATTGTGAATAACTTACATAGCAAGGATAGCCCTCCAATCTAAGGGGATGTTGGTATTGGTGCATGTCAGAGCAACCACTGTGTAATTTTCAGGCAGAGCAAATAAACCTGAAATTTAAGTCATAGACATGCGGCAGGTGGGGTAAGACTAGATACATAACTGCATTGTTAACTATTGTAGAAACTATTGTAAGTAATCAAAAGAAAGTTCTTTTAATATGACATCATTATACACATGATTACTAAAATTGATTGATAATTCCTTACTTTATGAAGTGTCTGATAATGAACCCAGCCTATTTTTCCTGAGACTATCTTCTCTTGAATTAACAAAAACATGGAGTCCACAAATAAGCATAAATATTAAGCAATTGTACACACCTGAGTTGACAAGACCTGCAACATCAATAATATTGCAGCTACTGGGCACACATACAGCTATGGAGGGTGTTATCTTCCCAAAGGCTGCAGGCACCTGAATATAAGAAATTAAATGATTCATTATACAGGGCATATAAAAAAAACGCAACAAGTAGTTATTTCGTAAAATCACAAAACTAGTGATGACTACACCAATTTCATTCAATGTACCATAAAGCCACGTCTCTCCTCTCTGAAATGATATGTCATTCATTCACATGTGGTGATGGTTGGGTGAGAAATCCTTCCATTTGCACAGTGGGTCAAAATCGGCTCTGGGCCAAGTTTTAGATATTGAAAAAATCAGTGCAAGGGCTAAGTGCCAATGGAAGTTCCCCTGACTTGAATTCTTGTGACTTTTTCTTTTGGAGCTCTCTCAGGAGCATCTGTGTTCACAATTCCTCTACCAGATATTGCAAAACCTCAAGAAAGAATTGCCCATGGGCTGCTTTTCTCTGCTTTAACCCACAGATGACTCAGGGCTGAACCATGCATGATGTGGACAGATGACCGCATCTTTATGTGCAAGAAAGTGGTGGCAATTTGGAGGGGTATAGGATGTATTCTTGCAAGAGTATGAGTATGAACACTTTACTGTCTATACCACACCTGTGAGACCCTCTTCCAATAGCCCCTATGCCCTTTGTACTGACTTTTGCAATGTTTAAAACTTGGGTCCGAGCTGAATTTTACCCCACTTTGCAAAATTAATGATTACGTATTTGGCCAGCCATGACTCCCTATGAATGAAAGATATTCCATTGCAAAGAGGAGTAATCCGGCTTTTTGGAACATTTAATGAAAAGGATGCAGTCAGCATTGGTTTTATGTTTTCTTCCAATATTGCATCGGGCTCCGTACACTGACTTTTGCGATTTTTATAACTTGGCCCAAAGCTAATTTTGGCGCACTTTGCAAATGGAATGATTACTCGCCCAACCATGACCAAATATCAATGAATGATATATCATTGTAAAGAGGAGACACATGGCTTTACTGTGCATTGAATGAAATCAATGCTGTTATCACTGGTTTTGTGCTTTTCCGAGATAACAATCTGTTGCGTTTTTTTGATACGCACTGTATCTTTTAAACATGTCGGGAAAAGTTGAAACTTGAAAACAGCAAGCGAAGAGCAGCAAATTCTACTCACAGGCTGGTATCGAAAAAATTGTCCGCTGTGACGGAGCGTGCTATTTTCGCATAGAAACACTAGGAAATCCACACAATTTATTTTTTTACTCATATGTTTTGCTATATCAAAGAAAATTACTGACTCCATGCAATGAATATATCATTTGCGGGTAACTTTAACTTCTGTTTGAAGTTCAACAACGCTAAGAGTAAAAGCTATTGAAAACGGCGTCGGAGTATCATACTCCAAAATGTACCATTTCTTTTATTTCTTTTTAATGGTACAATATAGCGACACGATAATATTTACATATGTTTTCAGCGTAACTCTGAAGGTATTAATGAGATCTTTATGTATTGGGTATTTTTAATTTTTTCAATAAAAAATAATGTTTAAATTTTTTGTCCGCTGTGACGGAGCAGTTTCAAATCTGAAATACGTTAAGAATTTAGATTTATAATATATCTCTTTATAACTACACGTTAGAGGAGGGAGCGTATCAAATCTCTTTCGTAAAGTATTCTGAAAAATAAAACGGAATAAAAGTACAAATTCAAATTCTGAGATGTATAATTATACGACCACTCTTTAAGCTTCTTTAACTCAGTTTGTACTGTAATCCAAGTTATGCATGGTAACGATCATGAAAATGATAGTCAACTTTATTTCAGTATAGGGTATTTGCCTTTCGTTGTGCCTACTGTGGATCCATCACCTGACATGGTCATTTTTTATGGTAACTTATATACAGTAATATTATGTGGTAAAAGGTTATACATCTGTCGGAATGCAGGATGTCTGTGCGCTATTTCGAATAAATTCATATTTTCCCTATTTATGTTACGCGGTAAACACGATACAAAAATATGCCATATTCCGCAACGAATATGCCATATTCACTTGCGGTGTATGACAGATTCACCTGTGGTATATGGCATACACACTAACCAATGAGAACGTGATACGGAAGTATGCAATTGTCAATTGCATCGATTGAACGAACAAGTAAAACTTTATAAATTATTATAATGATTACTGAATCAACAGTACAGTTTATCGAATACATCAACGTATGCAGAAGTATCACTCACCAATCTCACGTAATCAACTTACCCAATCAATCCATGATTCATATATTAGTACTCGGCGCACTGACAGTATTGGTAATCCAGCGTAGCTTTACACTTAGAGTCGATTCTCGCAACCAA